TGGCCTGTATTCTTCAAAAATGGTAAGGTCTTAAAAAATAAAAGCTGAGATGGTTTCTATTAAAGAAGACTGAAGAGACCTGACAGCGAAATGTGAGGCGTGATCCCCGTTTATTGGGACAACAGAGACTTCAGAAGTGATTGGTTTCTCAGATGACAGCATTGCGCCACTGTCGCTAGGCCTGGGTGTGGTAACCGTGTTGTGGTTGTGTAAGAGATGCCATTCTTCTTAGGGGACACATGTTGAAATATTTAAGGGTGAAGGGTCATGACCTATGTAACTTACTCTCAAATTGTTCAGAAAAAATGTGCGTGTGTGTGTGTGAGAGAGAGAGAGAGAGAGAGAGAGAGAAAGAGAGAGAGAGAGCAAGCAAATATGACAAAACATTAACTATTGGTGAATCCGAATGAAGGATATATGAGTCTTTATTGTACTTTTCTTGCAATTTTTTCTGAAGGTTTTATAATTGTAAAAAAGAAAAAGAGCCCTAGCTGGTTTGGCTCAGTGGATAGAGCATCGACCTATGGACTGAAGGGTCCTGGGTTCGATTCCAGTCAAGGGCACATGCCTGGGTTGCAGGCTTGATCCCCAGTGGGGGGGGCGTGCAGGAAGCAGCCGATCAATGATTCTTTCTCATCATTGATGTTTCTATCTCTCTCTCCCTCTCCTTTCCTCTCTGAAATCAATAAAAATATATTTAAAAAGAAAAAGGCTGTTAACAAGATACTCCCCCTCAGGCACCATGTAGCCTGGCCCAATATGACATTTGCAGCCTCATGACCCAGCAGTACCAAGGTCTCTTTATAGTAAGTAAGTAAATCAACTGTGTTCTGTGCAAACCGTGGGCCACTGGACAGCAGTGAATGAACGTGAACCAGCTATGGGCTCCAGCAACCAGATGGCAAGGTTCATTTATATAATAAACAACAGCAACCCAGGCCCAATGAACACATGGCGTTTGGGGCTGCGGACATGGATGGGCAGCCGCAGAGAAAGACAAGGAAGTGATTGCCGCAGCGGTCAGCGTTGTGCTTCCGGGGTGGGGGCCTGCAGTGTGGAGATGTTCTTTTTGGGGGTTAAGCCTCACCTGAGGATATTTTTTCCATTGATTTTTAGAGAGAGTGGAAGGGGTGGGGAGGGAGGGTTTGTGTGTGTGTGTGTGTGTGTGAGAGAGAGAGAGAGTGAGAGAGAGAGAGAAATCTATGTGAGAGAGCCACATCAATTGGTTGCCTCCAGCAGGTGCCCTGACGGGCCAGGGATCAAACCTGCAATTCAGGTATGTGCCCTTGACCAGGAATCGAACCCGTGACCCTTAGGTACATGGCCCGACCCTCTAACCACTGAGCCACCTGCCAGGGCTCTTCTTAACTGCTAGTTACACAAGGACTCACTTTGTAATTCTACAAGTATACATGTTACATGTATGTCGTATACACACATGACAGCTGTACATGTCCCACCTTTGTATGAGGTGAGCACTGAGCGCCTGGGACCCGCCGCTGTGAGTGGCCGTGACAGTATCGGGCCTGGCCTAGAGGGGCCTGCGGCCACTGGGAGAAGGGCAGGGGTGGGGCGGGGAGGGCGGCCCGGCACAGCACCCGCGGGATTCGGCCTGGGGCGCCCTCTGGTGGTGGCTGCAGGGAGTAAGGCTGACGGAAGAGCAGGCTCCCTGGTCCCCGCCTCCTTCCCCTTTCTGCACGGTGGTCCCTGTCATTCATTCCTTCCTCCTCCAAACCTCCTGACACCTTCCTCGCTGAACTCACTCACTTCTCAGGGAGCCTTTCCCCACCCAGGCCGCCCAATTCCGACCACTCCTCCCCCCACAGGCCTTCCCTGTGCTTGGGACTCAGTTTGCACACACCCTCAGCATCGCGGTGTTTCACGCGGGGCGATGGTGACGAAGACGGATGGCTGGTGTTCCTGAGGGCTCCTCCCTGCAGGCACTGACGGCCCCTCTCTGCAAGCGCTGCGTTCGCTGCGGTCCGCCTTTCAGCGTGCACTTTACCCATGTACTTATTTAAGTTACAGCGCTACTCTCCTCTCTTTGCCCCTGCGGCCTCAACGACACATTCGTGTCCAATGTCCTTTAATAGGCTCCTCTCTTTGAAGGGCCTGGAGCCTCCTGAGTCATTATAAATAGGCAGCATTACTGGATAAATGGTGTTGGGGAAATTGATAGGCTGTCGTGTAAGTTATAGAGCGATCGCAACATCAGGCCTCATAACAACAAATGGTATCCCTTCCCTCACTCTATTCTAGTTCGTCCTGTTTTAAGGCCCTTTATCAGTCCCTGCCCCCAAGAACGACACATGGACCTCACTTTCCCTCGTCTTAACCCTCTCGTCATAGCCCAGCTTTCTTCTCTTCTAACCCTTACCAGTGCTCTCGCCTTGACTCCTCAACAGCCTCCTTGATTTTCAGTCCTGAAAACCGTGCTCTCACCAGCCCTCGAGTGACTCACTCTCGTCGCCAAGTGTGCCCCTGGCTAGTGTCCCGTGGAGTGGCATCTGGCCGCCCTCCCACTCAGACTTTCCAGGATTCTGTTGCCTAAAGACCAGGTACAGATTCTGGAACCCGAGGTGGGAAGGCCCCTGGTGCAGTCCAGGCCCCTCTCTCCCAAATGGGAAAGGAAATAGGGTAAAGGTCCCATAAATGACTCAACCCCCAGCCAGGCCATAGGCAGACCCTGCCACTCAAACACATTGATATTCCTGGGCTAACTGTACAGAGGTGTATGTAGGAAGAGAGTGTAAGACGAGTGTAAATTGATGCTCTTCGGGTGGGGTTGAGTGTGCAATTATTAAGCACCTACTCTGTGCCAGTCCCTGAGACTACAGGAAACCAAACGTCAGTGGCCGCTGCTCCCGTGGGCTCCCAGGTGGGGGCAACAGCCAGGTGTTGGTGATGGGCCCTGAGAGAGGCCACAGAGCATCATGGGAGCCAGTGAGTAGGGGTCTGGAGAGGGAGTGGGAGGGGGATCCAGTCTAAACAAGATATGCACAGGCCCAGGGCCTGCTGGGAAAAGGCCGCAGGTCAGGAAATCAAAGAGCCAGTCTGAGGGAGCTGGGTTGGCCTTGCTCGCGAGTTGGGACAGCGCCTCTGAGAGCTGTCAGAGGCTCCACAGAGGCGATGGAGGAGGACGCGCAGGGCAGGGGTGTGTCTCGAACACCTACAAGGCTGCCCCACCACCCCCAGGAGGAGTGAGTCACGGACTTTATCCTCAAGGAGCTTGGGGACCGGGCGGGAGGGTAAGATAAGCACACAGAGCTCTCCAGGAATGAGATAAGGGGCAGGTAGGAGAGGCCCACAGGGTGCAGGGAGAGGCGGGAGCAGATCAGGTAGTCAAGGGGGGTGGGGGGCATCTCAGCAGAGGAGATGGGGGCCCAGGGATCACAGGGCAGTGTGAGCAGAGCTGCACAGGGTGGGCGTGGGGTGGGACACATGACAGGGACATAGAGACCAGAGCAGGGGGCTGCATAGAGTCCGCAGCGGGAAAAGGCCCGACCAGCTCTGTGACTTTAGCAAGTTGCTCACCCTCTCTGAGCCTGTGTCCTCATCCCCGCACCAGGTTCCCAAGAGGCACCTTGCAAAGTGGCTGAAATGATTGATGTGGGTCAGTGCCCGGCTCCCAGAAAGCGCTCAAGAACCATTTCCCGTTAAAGCAATCTGAGCTTTATTCCTAGATCTGGGTTTCTAATTTTTTAATGTTTACTTTAAAAAAATAATTTTTATTGATTTCAGAGAGGAAGGGAGAGGGAGAGGGAGATAGAAACACCAATGGTGAGAGAGAATCATGGATCAGCTGCCTCCTGCACGCCCCCTACTGGGGATGGAGCCTGCAACCCAGGCATGTGCCCTGACTGGGAATCGAACCGTGACCTCCTGGTTCATAGGTCAACATTCAATCCCTGAGCCACACCGGCCGGGCTCATTTTCACTTCTTATTTACCAGCAGAAGTCTTTGTGTTCAAATGAAGACTTCCCCGGACGCCCACTGTGTAAGAGCCAGGCCGGAGGGAGGCTGCTGTGGGAAGCGGGAGCAGGGGTGGGGCCAGGTCTTGTCCACTCGGCTCTGCCCCGGACACTCACCCCACAGGTCAGAGCTGTGCTGCAGGGGGAGAGAATGGCAAGAGAGAAGAGAGCGGGGCGAGCAGAGGGGAAGGTTGCACAGGGGCCCTATCTTAGGGGGGTTCTCTCACAGACGGGCCAGAGCCCTGGGTACCCACAGCCACAATGGATGTTGGTGAGCCTTCCTGGGCATGCAGGGCGGAAGCTCGGGATCTGTGTGAACATTTTTGGATGGGCCAGAGGCTGAGCTCACAGGTGTGGGGAGGACAGGGACCCTGGGGGAGTCTATACTCAGGGGAAGCACCGGGTGCTGGGGTGCCGGCAGGCACTGAGGCTCAAGCGGGCCTCAGAAGGCTTCCAGCAGGCAGCACACGTGGAGGCAGAGCTTGGAATGGTTAGTAAAGTGACCCTGCAAAAAAGCTGGGAAGGGTGTTTCAGGCAGAGGGAACGGCATGGGCAAAGCGCAGAGGCACACCATGCCGCAGCAGGCAGTACAGGTGAGGCCCAGAGCAGGGCAGGCTCCCGGGAGGGGGAGTGGGAAGGTGGGAATGAGACAGGAGGGCCGTGGGCCTCGCGTGCTGCACTGGGCTAGCAACTCTCCATCGCCCCCTGGACACCAGCCCGGCCCCCCCCACAGGTCCCGGCAGCTGGCATTGAGGCGAACATACCTGTGACCTATGCAATTGGCAGCCAGAGGGGAGACAAGAGCACTGGCTGTCAATTCATAGGTCAGAGCCCTGTGCACTCGGTCTCCGCGGCCTGCTGACAGCCCACCGCCCTTGGCCATCCTGGGCCTGGGGGCGCAGCCACAGAGTCCCTGCCGGTCCGCTGGGCGCAGCCTCCTCTCCGCCTCCACGGGGACGGGCCCCCACCCCAGATAACAGCAGCCCCACTGGAACGAGTGGGCACTTCCACATGGAGTTGCTGTTACAGGGGGTGGGAGCCGCTGGAGGCAGCTCTTCTCGGGCTGAGGTCCGGGGAGGGCCCCGCAGCCATGACCTGGGCCCCTGGGTCCTCGGGGCCCTGGGTCCATGGTCTTTTTATTGAGGCTCCTTATCGTGCGGGGCCCGCTCCTTCTCTGGGCGAAGTCCAGGCTCAGCCCCAGATCTGCCCACAGAGCCGGGAGTGGCCCTGACTTACACTCCGGCACAGCCTTTGCCCCTCTGACACCCACACCCTCTGTCCCCAAGTTCCTTGTTTCCTCGTTTCTTTCCCAACCCGAGCTGGGCCCCGGTTCCAGTTTGGCTGCTGTGCCTCCCTCCTCTGCCCTTTGCCCACCCTTCCCGCCGCAGCCACAGGGCAGAGGGCGAGGGATGGCTGGGTCTGTCGTCCCCAGGGACCTCCAAATGCCCAGATTCCGCAGGAGATGGCCCTGTAGAAAGGAGACAGACACAGAGAAGGGCGGGGTGAAGGGGAGACAGAGAGAGTGGGTGAGTGAGGCCAAAAGAGAAAGGGATGAGGGGCAGGCCGAGAGCGGAGAGCCGGAAAGAGACAGAGCAAACGGGCAGAGAAGGGGGAGGGGGAGGGGGAGGGAAAGGAGGAGGCAGGGAACTTGAAAAGATGCTGATACACAAACCTGCTGGCAGGATGGTGAGAACAGGGCTGTAAGCAACCACCCATCTTGAAAAAACTCTCAGCACCTTGGTGGCCCGGGAGCTGGGTGACCTTGAACATGTGGCCGCAGCTGGTTCCTCATATGCTTTAGGGCTGTGAGCTGTCCTGCACATGGGCCTAGACTGGTGGGCAGCACCCTCCCTTCAGCCCGTGGTGTAGGGAGAGGAAGGAACTGCCGGTTGGGGTCCCCGCACTGGCCCCGGCCCCCAGACCTTTCCTCTGCAGTGTTTTCTCATCCCCCCAGACCGGCTCTGGACCACCAGGCTTGAGTGACAGGTTGCTGCTGAGGGGACATTTCAGAGACCCCAAGGCTTCTGGAGAGGAAGAGGAGCTGGGGCTCTGAGCTCTTCGAGTCGGGCCACCCCCCCACCCCCACCCCGTTTCCCTGTGTGGAAACTGGCCCAGAGAGGCCGAGGAGGCGGCCCAAGGTCACAGAGCGGGGCCTCCAGGTCTGTCCTGCATGGCAACCTCCCTCAAGTGGCGTCTCCCAGGATGCAGTCAAGTGGGCTGGGGGACCCCAGGCAGGAGGCCTCTGCCCGGGAGGGCAGGCCTGTGATGAACACACCAGAGCTAGGTACCCCCCTCCCACCAGCCCCTCCCGAGGACGCAGGGGCACGACCGAGTGCCCCAACCGGCGGCAGCATCACGGGGATGCCACAGCCATGAGGGTCCCGCTCCCTCCCCCAAGGGGGAAGCTGAGGCCCAAGGGAGGAAGGGAGTTGAGGTCACTAGCCATTGCCTAGGTCGCTTCCTTTCTTCCTCGAGGGGCTAGGACCCTGCAGAGGGGCGGGCAGAGGGGCTGCAGGCTCTTACCTGGGTGCGGGCTGGCCCTGGAGGCATGAGGAGGAAGTGGGCCCAGCGCCTTTTGAGCCGTTGGCCCAGCCCCGGTGGCAGTTAATGATTATCCTGCCGCCTGTCAATATGGATCACAGTGCAGTTCGAAGGGCAGCACACCCTGGACTGTGCCCGGGCAGGGGGGCAGCACCAGGAAGCATCAGGCCAGGCCCGTCTGCCCTTCCGGTGGCACCAGTCCACAGCCCATCGCCCTCCTGGCACCCTCCGCCCGCGCGGCCTCTGCCCCAGGTGTCCATGCCCAGCGAGGATCCCGGGCCCACCAGGACCCAACTTCCACCCAGTTCACGTGGTGCCATGTCTCCCTCACTGCGAAGGGGACACTGGGGACACCAAGGGGAGCTGGGGGCACTTGCGAACCAGAGGGGTCTACAGATGGCCCTCGCGAGGTGAGGGTGCTCTAAGCCCGTGCCTGTTTCCCCACCTACCTCAGTGCAGTGCTACTGGGGAGTGGGCAGGGCGGGGTGATCAGAGCAGCCCTCTTCCTTGTTCTCAAGAAACAAGGTGTGTGTGGGGGGTGCAGACCAGGGTCACTTTCCTGACCCCGTGTGAGTGTCTCCGCTGCCGCCCCCGTGCCCCTGCCCGCCAGCACCCTGTAGCTGGGACCCAGGACAGAGGCTCCCGCCACTGGGGATGGGGGGAGCAGCCCCCAGAGGCCAGCCTTCCAGGAAGGGCCTTAACTGAGCCTCCAGTCCTTGTACGCTGGGCAAGGAGCATCAGGAAGGAGCTGAGGCTCAGAGGCCAGGGGCAGCAGCCTCAGGTCTAAGCCTCCCCACCGCCCTGTGCTCGGTTCAGCACCCTCTCAGCCGCCCCCTCACACCTGGCCCCAGGTAAGGCCGGACGCTGGGCTCTTGCAGGGATGGAGCCAAGGAAGTACTCTGGGCAAGGAGGCCTCCAAGGGCCGCCCCGGGGCCTCTCCCCTCCACTCAGCTCCTGCCACGTGAGAGGTGGGCCAGGGTGGCAGGCCCCTGCGAGGGTGGTGAGGAGGAGCTCAGGGCAGCAACTCTGATCCACTGGGTGGGGTGGGGAACCCTGGAGGTGACAGGGGAGGTGCTGGGTGTAGAGGTGGGAATCTGGGTGCCAGCCAAGGCCAAGGCTGAGGCCGGGACAGTGCAGGTACACAGAACAAGGGGCTGGCGGTGGGCAGTTTATTCCACGTCATGCAGACACTGACCCACACGCTCAGGCGATTAAAAATCATACATTGAACCACACGGCGTCTTTCCCCCCACGTCCCGGGAGACACAGAAAGACACTTGGCTGAGTGGGGTCGGGGTCCGAGGGTCCAAAAGCCTCCGTCCTGGGCCCAGGCAGCCGTGTGGGCCCAGGTGGTGATGTGGGTCCCGGTGGTGGGGCAGTGTCTTCTCCCCAGAGAAAAGTGCAGAGACAGGGCCGAGGCCCAGGCAGGAGCCCCTCTCACAGCGACGCAGCAGGCAGGCCAGGCGCAGGGTCCTTCCGGTCCTTCCTGAGGGCCCGGCCCGCCAGGCTGTCCACGCTCTCGGGAGGCGCGGGAGCCGAGGTGCCACTGGCTGGCTGGGCCTGCTGGGCGGGCAGCACCCTGGAGTCCGGCACCTGGTGCTCAGTCCTGGGCCTCCGACCGCCACTTCTGAGTGTGGTCCTTGTGTGCGTCGGGGAGGATCTGGTTGCGCATCCCCCCGAGAAGGTTGGACGTGGCCTCCGTGGCCAGGATGAGGGGCCTCACCACCGTTGGGGGCAACTGGCGGATCACACCGCCCACAGCGCCCGTCAGCCCCTTCTGCTCGTGACCCCGAGTCGCCACATCACAGAAGGTCTGAGCCGTGTCCAGGAGGCCCTGTGGAGGGGGAGGTCAGTGCCGTCGGGTGGACAGTGGGTGTGGGAAGATGGGGAGCAGGCTGGGCCTCCTTACCTCTCGAACGGTGTCGTAGGCCTTGGCCACGCCCTCCCGGAGGTCAGCTGGTTGCTGGCCCTTGCGCCTCCGCACTGAGCGCTTGTCCTGCAGGGAGCGGGTGATGGGGGCCGCCGGGGACAGGATGTCGTACACCGTCTCGGCTGTGGCCTGGGGAGCACAGGGGACACCAGTGAGGAGAGGTGCACAGGGCAACATGATGGACCCCTAAACCCTAGTCCAGGGGCCCCCTCTGCCCCTCCTCCACACCCGTGCTTTACGCCAGGACAGGTGGCCTGCGTGCCTCCTTGGGGCGGCTCCTTCCCACCCAACCTTGACTGCCGGTGCCACACTCCAGCTCACGCTCTGGGGTGGCCCTCAGATGCTGGCTTATGCCTCCAGCCTTCGCTCTAGAGCCCTGCCCCTGCCCTCATGGGCTGGGCTGCAGGGCACAGGCAGCACCCTGATCCCCAGCTTCTGCACACCCACCTGCCATGACCACCCACCATGCCTGCCCATCCAGCCCCCGTCCCACAGGGCCCACTGCAGGAGCTACTGCCCACAGGACAGCTCCCTGGGGCCCACCAGGGCCTAGCAAGGTGCAGGGCCGGCGTGAGTCAGGGCTCGTCTTGGTCTTACTTTCCAGTCTGCAAAAAGCCCCCTTCCCTTCCTTTCAAGACTTGGCCACAAGCAGAGACCCAGTGGGCCACAAACACGGGGGGCACTCAGCCTCCTGCATGGGGGCCGCAGTTGGCTGGGGCGACCCGGCTGTGGGCCCCAGCCAGATACTCGCCTCTCCCGTTCTGTGACTGTTCCTCGGAAAATGTTACATACACCCAGGCTACCCACCGCCAGCAGAGCTTTGGGGACGACATGGGCCACCACGGCAGACCCTCCCGCCCTGCACAGCCAGGCGCCGCTCACCTGGATAGCCTGCACCAGCCGGTTGCTGAGTTCCAGGGCAGCAGAAGCCGTCGACGAGCCAAAGGAAGCTGCCCCCCGTTGCAGCCCCCGCATGAGGCGCCCGTCCTTCCGGTACTGCTCGATGGGCAGCCACAGCAGGTCCCGGAACCCTTGGACTGGGGAACAGGGGTCATCAGGGGTGCCCGAGGCTACAATGCCCCCACCTTCCTACTCTAGGGCCTCCCCTACATACTACCAATGGCAACGTCTAGGGTGCCCAAGAGTGTGGGCCGTCTCAAGAGTCCCCAGTGCCAGACACTTACAGAGCTGGACAACTGAATGCATGGGGCCCACTCCCCGCAGCAGGCCGGGCAGCTGGTTCTTGCGGATGTCCTGCAGCCACTCGTTGAGAGCGTAGCCCAGCACCTTGTCCACACCCAGGAGCCTGGGAAGGGAGAGGAGGAGGGCAAGGTGGGGCAGAGCCAGACACTGAGGGGTCACAGGGCTAGGAAGACCTGAGGCACCTCAACTTCCCATGTTCCCACCCAGCCCTGTGTCGGGGGTGGGGGGCTACTGCACCCATTTTACAGAGGAGAAACTGAGGCCCCAGAAGGTTGATCTCTTGGCCAAGGCCACACGGCCAGTCAGGGACAGAGCAAAGGGACTATCAGGGCCCCGGAGAGAGGCTGGGGTGCTAGAGCGCGAGGCGGGCTCACCCGTGCCGGCAACAGAGTCGCTTCAGCTTCAGCTCAGAGCAGTTGAGCTGGGCCAGGCCGACGAGGAGGCCAGTGAAAGTGCCCTGGGGAGGGAGAAGGGTTCGGGTTTACACGATGGGGCACAGGGACCTGCCCAGCCCACAGGAGGCCGACTCAGTGGCTGATGGTGCCTGGATGCAAGCCCTGGCCTCCTGGGCCCCAAAGAACAGGCCACACCTGAGCAGAACGGGGACCCCCTCAGCCATGGCGCCTGACGGCCCCACTTACCACCTGGTCCATGCTGATGTGCTTGCCCTGGTAATCCAGCCAGATGGGCACCTCAGATGTGAATCGAAACTCCCTGGGGATAAGGAGCAAGGGCCCTTTAGTCGCTGACCTGGCCTGGTGCAGCCCGCCCAGGCCCAGCCCAGGCCTCACCGGAAGTAGATGGGCTGCTGCTCGGAGGAAGCGCCTTGGCCACCACCTGCGGCCTCCTGGGTGTCGCTGGTCTCCACGCCCTCGGGCTGCCCTTCCTGGGGGCTGCTCCCCTGGGCTCGGGTCTCAGGGTGCGCTGCAGACGAGACAGACCAGGGGTGGGCCCAGGGAGGCACGGAAGCAGGAGACCAGGACCCTCCCCTACCAGGTCCGGCCTCTCACCCTCGGCCGAGGTCTCTGCCGGGACCATGGGGTTGATGCCGGCCGCCAGGCTGGTAAAGTAGTCCTTGAGGAAGAGCAGAGCGTCCTGTGGGGCCAGAGTGTGGGGCACAGGTTGGGCTCAGGGACTTGGCAGCAGGGGGCTCACGTCAGCCTGCCCCCCCCAGCCACTCACCTGGTCCACATTGAGCCGCAGGGGCATCAGCGAGACCCGGAGACAACACTCGGGTGCACTGGGGTTGGTCATGGGGACCACGTGCAGCGCTTTGATGGTGAGCTGGGGACAGAGGGTGACCCCCCAGGCTATTCCTTCAGCTGAGCTGGCCCGAGCCGCACCACGCCCCCACGCTCCCAACAACCCAGGTAGGTGTGTGCGCATGTGACTCCCACGGGAACAGGTGGCCCATCCCTGCCAGCGCGCGGCGCTGCCCACAGTACCATGTTGGAGTGGGTGCGCCGCGGCATCCGCTCGCTGGTGTACAGGTACAGGAACTTGTTGATCTTCGAGGAGGGGAGCCGGTCCCGGATCTCCAGCTCCTGCACGATGAACACCTGCCGGGACAGCGGCTGCTCCTCCAGCTCCTTGCCTGGGGCCACGGGGCCTGGGGCCGGCTCCACTGGGTACACCTCATGCTGGAAACTGACCTGTGGGAGGATGGAGGCCGGAGCCAGGTCGGCAGGGCCCGGACACGGACAGAGGGGTTCACCCCGGGCCCCTCCTCTCCCAGCCACCTCCCTGCACACAGCTCCATCTCAGACTCACGCGGCTGCCGCCAGGACATCTTTATGTGGCCATCCCACAGGTGTTTCAAACCCACACGGTCAAAGTGACCTCTTGACCTCCTCCCCGAATCTATCCGTCTCTATTCCCACAGCCTTCCCACCTGCCTCGTCACCCTAAGCATAAACCCTGGTCCAGCCCTCGCTCTCCAACCTCTCCATCACCAGGGACATCAGCTTTGCATCCTCAAAACATCTGTAAAATCCCCTCCACCAAGTAGTTGCCATGGAGCCCTGGCTGAGTAGCAGGGACGGGATGGCCGCTGCCGCCCCCCACCCAGCCCCCGCTCACCTTGCTGAGCTGAATCTCCATGAAGACCTGGTGCTGCCTCCCGCTGCCCCCCTGCACGCGCCAGGAGTTCTGGGGCCGGTTGGGGCCAGAGCAGCGAGAAGGGGAGCCCCTGGGGCCTGTGAGGCCAACTCTTGCCCTGGGAAGAGGGACAGGGGACAAGCTGACACAG